CTCTCTCTCAGTCTCTCTCTCTCAAATAAATAAATAAATAAAATCTTTAAAAAAAAAAGGAGGGCAGGTGATGTAATGAGCACTGGGTATTATATAAGACTGATGAATCACTGACCTCTACCTCTGAAACTAATAATACACTATATGTTAATTAATTGAATTTAAGTTAAAAGAAAACAAGATAAAATATTCAACATAAAATAAATAAATAAATAAATAATTTTGAGCAGGGGATTTTCCAAGTTATCTTAAGTTTATTTTACTATATGAATTGTTTTTACCATTTATTTTTGGAAGGCTGTATCATAAACACTAGAATGCTGACTGCAAACAAAATTACCCAGTATATTCATATGTATGTTCAGGGAGCTATGGCAAAAGTGGTAGTTCAAAGAGAGACAAGACTGTTTCATTTGCTAGCATCCCAGGGACAGGTCTGTTTTAATGTATCACAATTAAAGTTGTACAGGAAATTTTTTATATAGAATTGGAAAAATTAGTAGACATCTGTCTTACCAGCAGTAAATAGATTCAGCTACAGATTCAGATGAGCATTACCCACTCTGCTCCCTTGCCCTACATTTTAGGAGACAATCTGAACTTTGTGCCTGTCACAAAAAGATAGATCAAGGTTAGGCTTGTACTCCTGCAATGTCTGATATCCTTCTCTTCCCCTCCCCACCTCTGTTCCCACGCCCACTTTTACAGAACCCCATTTAAACTGTTTCTACTAATTCTTCTTCAAGTGTTCCTTCCTTCCTTCAGCCTTTGACAAATACACAGTGTTTCTGCTCTGTGCCAGATAACTAGAGTTGCTCCAGTGAGCAAAATTAGACCCGGCCTCTGCTCTTGTGGAGCTTACCGTCTAATAGGACAGACAGACATTCCTCACAAAGACCCCTCAGTGTGTGCATCACACAAGAGAAGGGGAAGAACATGGTGCACCAGCCCAGAGAGCCAGGAAAGCCTTCCCTGAGGAGGTAACACCTGAACTGAGATCTGAAGTGTGAGCAGGATTTAAATAGCTGAAAGGATGTGGCAGGGGGAGAGCATTCAGGAACAGGAAGCAGCCTGTATAAGGGGGTAAAAGGGAATGTGGCACACATCTCAAGCAGCTGAATGGCAGCCACCAGCTGGAGCACAAGGAATGTGGGAGGAGTAGGGTGTGAGAGAGGAGAAGTAGACAGAGCAGGGGATGGGGGTGTCACACTGATCAGGGCCATTACGAGACATGGCAGGAACACTTGGGGGACTTTTGTAATTTGAGCTTGAGATACTGTTTTACAAATAAATCTACATTCTGTGACATGTATAGCAAACATCTTAACTTTAGTATGTATTGGGCAGATTTTACTCCCAAAGGAAAACTAGAGAGAAAAATATTTCCTGTTTCTTAAACTCCTTACAGTTTAAAACCATACCACAGAGAAAATAGTTAACTCGTAATTATATTTTCTCCCTTCCCCGTGTCTAAATGGTAAGGATTTCTGTAGTTGTGTAATTTAATTTATCGATCTATAAACTAATAACTTGGTCCCTTCAGGTTTTACAGTGAAGGTTCCTTCCTACTTGCAGGTTACATGCAGTTCTCTTGTATGGATGCAAGGAGCGAGTCTGGCTACAGATGCACCAGAGAATCTTACTGTTGGAGGGGATGTTAGAGGTCCTTTTGTCTAACCCTCCTGTCCTTCCTGTCTTCCTTCTCTTATGCTATCAGTTTGAGTCCCTCTCAGAGGCTCCTGGAAGATCCCTTGGTGAGCACAGGTGTGTTTGGTTTTTCAGGAGTCATTGGTGATCAGGGATATGGCTGAGGCTCTTACCCAGTGGGGGCAGCTGAACCCTCCTCAGGGAGATGTGCCTGAGAAGCATAGGAATCTGGTCTTGCTGGGTAAGGATGGCCTCCTCCCCTGCTTTGAACTTACCCAGTGTGGTACCTTTGCTTTCTCAGTTCCTAGGAGCTCTGAGAATCAAAGATTCTTAATCGCTGTGTAAGTCCTGAGACAGGCAATGTCTACTTTTGTTTCTGGATATATGTGTAACTCTGCCAGAGTTAGAGATGGACACCTTTGGATTGTATTTTCCTAGGTGGTAGCATCCTTCTCTACTCCCTGACCAAGGATGTTGAGACAAAGTTCTAGTGAAGATACCTTTTAAGAAATGGGTGCTTGGGGCGCCTGGGTGGCTCAGATGGTTAAGCATCTGCCTTTGGCTCAGGTCATGATCCCGGGGTTCTGGGATCAAGCCCCACATCGGGCTCCTGGCTCAGCGGGGAGCCTGCTTCTCCCTCTCCCTCTCCCCCTGTTCATGCTCTCTCTCTCTCTCTCTCTGTATCTCTGTGTCTCAAATGAACAAATAAAATCTTTAAAAAAAAAAAGAAAGAAATGGGTGTTTATTGTTTTAATAGAGAGAGGTAAAAACAAGTGACTTAGTTGTTTTGCTCAAGTAGACCCCATATCCATCTTCCTACCTTCTTCTGAGCACTGTTGAGGGAGAAATCTAGAACTGACCTCTCTCTTTCTTTCTCTCTCTCTTTTTTTAAAGATTTTATTTATTTGGCAGAGAGAGAGCCCGACAGCACAAGCGGGGGGAATGGCAGAGGGAGAGGGAGAAGCAGGGAGCCTGATGCGGGGCTCGCTCCCAGGACCCCAGGATCATGACCTGAGCCGAAGGCAGACGCTTAACCGACTGAACCACCCAGGCGCCCCTCTTTCTTTCTCTTACACTATCTTCCCTAATGACCAAGGAAATAACACTTGTTACCAAACGAATTTTTCTTTTCCCATGAACAGGGCTTCTAATTTCCAAGCCTGATGTCATCTCTCAGCTGGAGCGTGGGGAAGAGCTAGAGAGAGAAGTATCAAAAGCACCAGGTGAGTGATAACATAAAGCCCAGATGGTCAGTAGGATCAAATGGGGTCAAAGCATCTTTGAAGTGCTTGTGGAGGAGCCTTTCCAGATTTCACTAGACCCATGGAAAAGTTGAAGTGAAGTCCCTTTCTCCCATGCCACAGTCCAGCTCTGTGGATGATCATCTTTTATAAATGCATACTTTTTAATTTTTTTTTTTTTTAGAAAATAAATACTTTCCACCCTTTCAAACCTATTCTTTTTCCCAAATAGGGTAAAAATTAAGTCAACATTTTAATATTTGTTCATAATATGCTTGGGTGTTAGGCTCTAAACCAGGCTTTTTCATATTATTTTTTATTTTATCTCTGCAGGAAAGTGTGACTTTTTATCTCGGACCAATGACTAAAAATCGATCTCTGAGTTTCCCCTTGCCTTCCTCTTTATCTAAGTAGAGATAGCATAGAATAGTGGTTGCATGCAGACTTTGGAACCAGTCTAAATGTGTTCAAAGCCAGTCTTAACTACTTAATAGCTCTGTGACCTTTAACAAGTGAATTATCCTCTCTGTGACTCAAAGTCCTCAACTATAAAATGGGGATAATGATAGCACTTAACTCATAGGGTTGCTGTGAAGATCAAATGAAATAATTCAAAAGAAATGCTTAGAATAGTACCTGACCAAATGCTAAGCAAGTAATAACTATTGATTAAGTCCCGGTAAATTATTTTGAGAGATGTCATGAATTTGACCTGATCATTTCTATCAAAGTGGATACCACAATGGACTACCTACTAATTATACGTTCCTTCGTCTTACCCTTGTCTAACTGAGGCAGCATACCACTGCTGGATTCGCCACTCTGCCAGTTCTGTATTCCTCTACCTGCTTTCAAGGCTTTGAAAGCCAAGTTATTAGTTTATAGATCGATAAATTAAATTACACAACTATAGAAAACTACCTGCCTAACCATTTCACCTACTTTATCCTTCAACTTGAACCCCTAACACGAGACAGGCAATCTCCTACTTTCCTCCATTAACTGTGTTCTCCACGGATATTTCGGGATTTAATTCTTCCATTCCCCTTAGCTGAAAGTCCGTTTGCCTTTAACTTGTTTCTACCCATTTGCTCTTTAAAATCCCAGGTACTTCCCTGATTATATGTAGTTGAGAACATTGTATTGTATTGATTTATTTCATATAGAGTCATGGTTGGAATGGATATTAAAGACCATTTAAGCCTGGAAATATTTAAACATTTTTAGCTTTTCTCCCAAAACTCTTATGAGGAAACCTAGGATTTGGGGCAGTTTTCCTGACAGGTTGGGAACCAATCTGAGCATCTAGGGATTTGACCCTTCTACTCCCTACATGCTGCTCTTTTTTTTCAAACTTCATTCTATTTAACTCTTTATAGGGCTTTTTTTTTTTTCCAAGATTTTATTTATTTATTTGACAGAGAGAGACACAGCGGGAGAGGGAACACAAGCAGGGGGAGTGGAAGAGGGAGAAGCAGGCTTCCCGCGGAGCAGGGAGCCTGATGTGGGGCTTGATCCCAGGACCCTGGGATCATGACCTGAGCTGAAGGGAGACACTTAACGACTGAGCCACCCAGGCGCCCCTCTATTTAACTCTTTAAAGTTTGTTAGGTGTGGGGCAGTCAGAGGTGATCAGTTACTTTTTTTTTTAAAAATATTTATTTATTTGAGAGAGAAGAGGACAAATGGGAGGGGCAAAGGGAGAGGGAAAGAGAATCCCAAGTAGATTCCATGCTAAGCGCAGAGCCTGACATGGGGCTCAATCTCACGGCCCTGAAACCATGACAGCTGAAATCAAGAGTTGGACGCTTACTGACTGAGCCACCCAGTTGTTTGATTTGCTTCTTAATCACTAAGCTTTGTGATGATGTGAATTTGCTGCTCTGGACCACTTTGTTTCTTTGTTGTTTTTTTTTTAATTTTTTTTAAGGTTTTATTTATTTATTTGAGAGAGAGAGAGAGAGAGCAAGTGCACAAGAGCAGGGGGAGGGCCAGAGGGAAAGGAAGAAGCAGACTCCCCACTGAGCAGGGAGCCTGATGCGAGACTCCATCCCAGGACCCTGAGATCATGACCTGAGCAGAAGGCACACACTTAACCAACTGAGCCACCCAGCACCCTGATCTGGACCACTTTGAATGCTAGCTTAGAGAATCAGTGTCTCATCTTGAGACCATGGAACCAACAGAGTTTTTTTTTTAAGGTTTTGAAGGTTAGTCTGTTAGCAGTGATTGGGAAATCCTGGGATGGGGAAAGATTGGTAGCAAGGAGATCAACTAACGATGGTCTTTCTCAAGGCATGAGGTGCACAGGCTCCAGTGAGGGGGTAAGAGTGGGCAATCCCTGCAAGACCGTCTTTTCTGTCTCCACCTCACCCATTTTTAAATCTCGTCTGCCATTTACCCACATGACCTCTGCCTAGTCTTATTTTCTGTTATTCTTACTCATCTCCTACCTGTCTAGATAAAAGAGTATTGAGTGCCTGCTCACTCTTTCACTTTTGTGCAATTGCATTTCTTTGCCCACTCACCTTTCTTTTCTCAAGTTCTTTCAGAATTGCAAAGCTATTTTTGAGAGCTTTCAAGTTCCTGTGTTCTCTTGTAAGCATTATTCATTTGTTTATTTTTCATTCTTTTCCTACCACAGCAGTTATTTTTCATTCCCATGTAGGAAATGATATATGTGTATTTTTGTTTCTTTCAGACTGGGAGACAATACCAGAAAGCAAGGAGCTTACTCCAGAGCAGGATATTTCTGAGGAAGAATCAGCCACTGGTGTGTTAATAGAAAGATTCCCAAAGGAAAGTTCCAGTGAATGTGAGGATTCTTGAGAGTCAGGAGGAAAACCATGAGAAACATTTAATACAGGAGGTTGTCACTCAGAAGAAATCTTCTGGGGAGGGAAGTTACCAGTGTGATGAATTTGGGAGAAGTTTTAGTCAAAGATCATTACTTACTCAACAGCAAGGAGAGAGACTACATAACTGTGATTCATTTAAAAAGAACTTAAAACAAAATTCAGATCTAATGAGGCACGAGAAAATTTGTGCAGAGAAGAAACCTTGGAAGTGTAATGAGTGTGAGAAAGCCTTTAGTTACTACTCAGCTTTTGTCTTGCATCAGAGAATTCACACAGGAGAAAAGCCCTACGAATGTAACGAATGTGGTAAAGCTTTTAGCCAGAGCATACACCTTACTCTACACCAGAGAATTCATACTGGAGAGAAACCCTACGAATGTCATGAATGTGGGAAAGCCTTCAGTCACCGCTCTGCCCTTATTCGGCATCATATCATCCATACTGGAGAGAAGCCCTATGAATGCAATGAATGTGGGAAGGCCTTTAATCAGAGCTCGTACCTCACTCAACATCAGCGAATTCATACTGGAGAGAAACCTTATGAGTGTAACGAATGTGGGAAGGCCTTTAGCCAAAGCACATTCCTTACCCAGCATCAGGTCATTCACACTGGAGAGAAACCCTATAAGTGTAATGAATGTGGGAAAGCCTTTAGTGATCGATCAGGCCTTATTCAGCACCAGAGAACTCATACTGGGGAGAGGCCTTATGAGTGTAATGAGTGTGGGAAAGCCTTTGGCTACTGTTCAGCCCTGACTCAACACCAGAGAACTCACACTGGGGAGAAACCCTATAAATGCAATGATTGTGCCAAAGCCTTCAGTGACCGCTCAGCCCTTATTCGTCATCAGAGAACACACACTGGAGAGAAACCTTATAAGTGTAAGGACTGTGGAAAAGCTTTCAGCCAGAGCTCATCTCTTACAAAGCATCAGAAAACTCACACTGGAGAAAAGCCCTATAGATGTAAGGAATGTGGAAAAGCTTTCAGCCAGAGTTCATCCCTTTCTCAACATCAGAAAACCCATGCTGGAGGGAAAACCAAAGAATACGGAAAAGCGTTTAGTGAGCATTCAGCCTTTGGCCAGCAAAAGAGAATTCATACTGGATAAAGACTATGTAAATGTGGTACATTCAGAACATATTTATCGAACAATTACTAAACGTGGTGTGAGGGCTACAAAGGAATTTCAGAGTGTGTTACAGAAAAGACATTAATTGAGAAGTCATTGCTGATACAAGGCATAGCTTACTTAGAATGTGAAGGAGGGGTTTTACATTTTTTCAGTGCAGCAGAGGACTTTGAGTTTTCTTGGGGAAAGAGGAAGATTATTTCCAACCCTAAGGTGTATGTAAGCTTCCAAATCCTTGTGGGAGAAATAGGGTGTGCAATGATGCAAAGAAGAGATCTTGTCTGGGCTGGATGGTCTCTTTTTTTTTTTTTTTTTTAAAGATTTTATTTATTTATTTGACAGAGAGAGACACAGCGAGAAAGGG